CCTGCCAAACTCTACACATGTACATGGAAAACATATGAATCAGCAAATATGCCTGTATCACAAATATGCTAAGTTATATGGCCGTCGGCACTCTTCAACTTGCATCTGCAGCTGTGTGTAAAGGAGCTATAGTTCCGACGGTTTGATGAACAGGTGACATAGAGGGGCAATGTGTAGCCAAGGCATGCTAGGCGCACAGGTGGGGAGCACAGAGTTACGCAGCCGCACACTGTTGTTAGATACATCGTTGTGGTACATAATACTCTTTTCACTTGTGTCGTCATAGATGCATCGGAGTTCAATGCCGGCTGGTTGGGCCTAGGCAGGAGACTGGTTACTGTAGGGCAGGGCTGGAAGCGGAAAGGCTGAGACTTTTGGAGAGGGGGGCCTTCTGGCGTTGTATTTTTCCACATGTTCGCATATCTGTTCCATATTTTTCATATGTTTTCCATATTTTCCCTTCCTCTGAAATATAGCAAAAATATGGGAAAATATGGAGACAATATGGAAAAGGGTGTCGCCCTTCAATTTTCGGGGAAAGAGCTTCGGATCTCGGCCTAGCTCCCCATCCCAAGTCCGTTGCGGCATCACGGTGGTTTAGGAACTGTTCTCTTACCGCGGCCTGCTCCGGCTTATACTTGCCTTGCAAAGCACAAACGGAGTTGAGATCGTGCAGTTGCTGGTCTGCCGAAATGCTCAATGAGCCGTTGTTGCACCGTTGCGAGCCTGAAGCCAAAGCGCTTTGATGAGAGTAATCCGCAAATCCAAGCACAATTCCGGCATTTTTTACATATGTCCCACATGTTCCGTTCATGAAGTTTCCGTTTTGTTTCCATAAGCAAAAATATACCAAGGATTTCGGACCGTAGCTGGGATCACAGCACCTCAATGCTAGCCACTACAGCCTCAGGCAATGTTTGTTGCACACTGAAGCCCGCCTTCGACGTTTCTTGCTCCAAGCTGAGGGTGAGCTGCCTCGATCAAGGCTGAGAATGAGAGTGAGCTTGGATCAAGGGTGTTGTTGGCCACCTCATCAACATGAATTCCCCAAGAAGCCTTGCCAAATGCTCGATCCGGTGGTGGAAGTCTTGCCTGCGCACAATGTCCAGGTTTGGAATGGACGCCGCGCTTCAGCTGCGACCCTTCATTGAGTGTCAGCTGCTTAAGTTGCTCCGCTGGAGACTCTTCTACCACTCGACATATGACAAGTTGCCGCGTTGTGACAGATATGAGTGGCACCCAAGGGCCGTCAGGTGCTCGGGTCTCGCGAGTAAGTACAAAGGTTTTTGAGCTCGTACTTGCATCTCCCAGAAGTTCCAAAGAGCAGCACGTTTGGCCCAAGATGACCAAGCTGTTGTAAGTGCGTGATGCCGTGCCTGATGAGCAGATCCATGCCGCATGCCTTGCGCAGCACGCGCCTCGGATGCCCAGAAGCCCACGATGATTGGCGGCTAGATGGGGTTCTGACAACTCGGACATGCTCTGTTGCATGTAGTCGGGCACTGGGCACAAATCCTCGAGCACGAAGTTGGCGGCGAGAGGTGTATGTGCTAAATCCAACTACCACGTAAAAGGGTCATCATTCAACAGAGGCTCTTTGCATCCGGCTCCTGTTGCCAGGCGCCGCAGATCATGGCACGCAGTGGCCAACCTGTTACTCGAACAACACTGCACCACAACCAGAAAAGACTCGCGTGTGGTCACTTGCTACTGAGTATCCTACCTCCAAGAGCCAGTTGCAGCAGATCCCCGAGCAGCGCCCGTGCAGCGGACACAAAGTCTTCCTCACGAGGCCATATTTTGAGAACTTAAGCGGAATCGGACGCCAAAGATGTCCTCGTCTGCCATCAGGTTCATGATGATGACGGAGATGACATGCGGCACGAGGTTTCTGAAGGCATCCGACGCATCACCCTGGACATGCGAACACGAACCCGTGCCACCACACTGCTGAGAATGGAATGAGGGACATTCAGCCTTGACATGGTGCAGTCTGACGGTCACAACGACTGTGAAGATTCCTGGCCTGTGGCAAGCCCTGGGCGAGAGCCAGAACTCCTCGTGAGTTTGGATTTGATGCCAGAGCACAGACAGAGCACTTTCTACTCCCACAGGGTCCTTCCCAAGCCTCCATGACTCCGAGCTTCAAGTCCCGATCGCCGCTCGCGTGTCCTCCGAGGCCGCGGAAGACGCAGATGAGTCAAGTCAAGTGTAGGAAAGTGGCGAATTTGGTCCCCAAACACGTGAGGCTAATGCTGCTCCATTTTGCCACGAATCATCAAAGACAGAAAGGGCCGACTAAACCCCAACAGACGCCGAGCAGCTCCCAGCTGTGATTATCAGGCCACAGGTGATATCGTAGCGGCCTCCACAAGTGTCACAAGTGTTGGAAAGAAGCATTCAACGGTGCGTCTCATGATCGGGAAGCTGTTCACGGAGGTTTGCAGCGAGGTTCACAGTCGCGGTGTCGAGGGCAAGGCCTTCACCCAGCAGATCCTTCAGGTCCTGCGTTTGCAAGATGAGCTCACATGAGTTTAGGGCTGCAGATCACTTCCACATGCATTCCAGCCTTGCGTCGAGCACTTGCACTTTTCACCCATCGAGAACCCAAGAGGTACTTCGCTACAGGAAGCCCCAGTGCCGCGAAGTGGCCGGCCTCTTTGGCGGAGGCCACAGAAGGGGCGAAGCGGTGCACGTCTCCAAGGAGGCTCAGCAGCCGCCGCGCACAAGGCGGATTCTGACAGAGCTGCGCGCTGGCTGTCATTATACATGGTCACTTGCACGCCCTCACCGAAGCGAACTATCACCTGACTCAAAAGCCATAGGTTTCTCAGCTCGAGTGGATCTTTCTCCCACGCCCACGACTTGCGAATTGGACTCCGAAGGTGTAAAATGGAAACCAGAGCGCTGGAAACCGACCCAAGTACCTGGATGGCGCTGGAAGTGGAGAGCCAGCCCTGAGATCCTCAGAAGAATTCGGGGATGATCTTTGGAGCTGGGTGGCTTTGTTCTGGGGCCCCTGCCCAGCATCAAGCCTCAGCTAGGCCAGGTTCGTGTGCACGCTGGCGAAAATCTGTTAAACTAGGCTTATTCAAGGGAGTACTGTGTTGCATTATTCCTACATGGCATGCAACATAGATACATACACTTTTTTAGCACTCGCGCTCGACGAATCAGGCGAGGTGTAGAGGAACCAGAGTACAGCAGTGACAGCTGCAGACCATTGAGATCCCAGCCACCCGGAAGGACGTACATACATACATACATACATACAGACATACATGCATGCAGACCTTTGCATGCAGATTTGCAGTGATGCCCGCATTTCCAAATGTAGATGCTGAAGCGAGAAGCGGGCGTCAGTTGCGACAGGCTTAAAACGCAGCCAGGCGTCTCTTCAACCATCGGGTGAGGTGTTGAGGAGGGCAGAGTTTGGTATCGAGGACCGCTCCACACGCCTCGTCTGACAAAAACGTTGGGCAAGGAATTTGTGCAACTTCAATATAAGCAATATAAGGCAAGCCCATCATGGATCTCAAGCTACGATGGAACCAAGCCTGCGCCGCGGTGGCTGCAAGCTCAATATTCTCCTGCCAGCCGCTGCGAAAGGTCATTCTAATGTGGCATTCTGAAAGTCCGAGCCATCCTGGACTAAAGGCAGAAAACGAGGGCGACAAAACGGTACGGACGCATTGCTGGAGGTGTCCATGCACCGTTGCTGATGAATGTCAGAGACTGCTCTTCGCAGCTGTTCTCAACGTAAACGATTGTAAACGCCTTCTTGTCGTTGCCACAGCGCAGACAACCACTGCAGAGAAGTTGCAACTGCATTGTGGCTCCTAGCAGTCGCCTCCAAACTTGGCAAACGAAGTCCTCCTGGCATAACGCGTCTTGAAGCTTGTCTCGGGCCTCACACCACACCTCGGGCCAAAGCAAGCAGGAGAGTGCAATCCTTAACCCTGGATGAATTGAGGCCACGACTGCCTCATCTAAACTCTGTACAATCGTGGCTAGGCTGCCAAAAGTCCTGCAGGATACTAGCGGAACAAGAGTTGTTCACGCCCTGTCGACCTTTCATGTCTCGGGTCCTCAGGCACACGATATTGACACTGTACTCTGCCTCATCCGACGCATTGATGACCAAGACACCCAACCTAGGCCACGAAGTCGTACGAATCACTACGGTGAACTGTCGCTTATGCACTGCCAGGTAGAGAAGTAAACTTGTTCCGTCGCCGAAAGCACGCCGCAGCTCAGAACTCATGCAACCTTATGCTTGCCAGGGTGCAAGCACTTGGAAATTTGCGAGCTCTGCCTGTAGGCTCTTCCAGATAGTTAGACAAAACTGCATGCTCAGGAAACCACGGGACGTCTGTAAATGCAAATCTGAAACGATCTTCAAACATGAGCTCGAAGGTTGCGGTGCAGCAGCGCCTGATTCAGGTCGAGTTGCTCCATGTCAAGTTGCCACCGTATGCCGGCCAAGCCCATCACTGCTGCTTCCAGCACGAGAGCCTAGTCTTGGGAAAGCAGGCGAGCGACGGCAGTGTCTACACACATCTTCAGGAGGGAAGATACCATATGCTTACACAGTAGCAGCCTTACAAGATGTCGAACGCTGCCAGTCAAGACACTGTGAGGCGCAGCAGGGAGCCCTCCTGCCGCTGTGGGAGCATGGCGGCAGCCTGCGACCTGAGGCTACCGACGTCACGAAAGGATCCTCTCTAATTTTTGGAAATGGCTTTGTGCTGGGCGAGGGGGTTCTCAGAAAGAGGGTGGAGCTCTGCACACTTTGAAGTGTGGGACGCAACCTACGCGAGCTTCGTGATGCCTTGGCAGGATAACTAGGAATTCGCCTTGGCCGAAGTGGTCAGAGGTTCCCCCTTTCCTCTCCTCCCGACCCACGTTGGTCGTCTTGAGCACCCTGGGCACCCTGAACCTGCTAATTGGGCCCTGATGCGGAGACTATTCATCACCTGCGACGCGGCCGAGGCGGACAACGCGAAGCGTTTAAATAACAAGGGTACCCTTGTTGCTACAATTTGGTCTGTGCAGGGAAACCTTTGCAAAAGGGTACTACTGGAGAACCTAGAACC